TCCTAGTCTTTCCTAAGCCTTTCAAGATTTGTGTTTAAACAGCAGTGTAGAAAAGGGTAGTTAAACTGTGACAAATCAGGGGGTCTTCTGACCCTATTTTCTTGCTCGGCATCTTCCAATTTAAAAAAAAAAAAAATAGAATTCAGTCCTATCTCTTTTAGGATCTGCAAAATTGTTTGCCGTTGATAATATAATATAATAATAATAATATAATTAATATAATACATAGCATCTTGCATTTGAACCTATAAAACACCTCACCAAATTCTTGCAAACCTGGAAGCAGTGAAGGTGCTTCTCTAGTTCTCTGCCAAGTGTTCAAGTGTTCAGGTTATTTCATTTAATCCTTTCCCTCTCCCTCCCCCCCTTCTAGTTTTCTTCTGACCTGTTGTTTTTAAGTTAAGGAAATTGTTGTCTAGAAAAAAAAAATCTCTTATGACTGTTCTGAAGACTCAAAATTGGATGCTTTCCTATGAAATATGTTTTTATCTCAAACAGAAATGCCGTGCTTGAACTCAAAATCAGTCTTAAAGCATGCACAAGGAAGAGCTACCGAAAAAAAAAAATGCGTTGTTTTTCCACAGTTGCTACCAAGCATCTTCCTTCATAATGATTGTCTGATAATGGGTATGATCTCTCAATATTATTCTAAATTTTAGACAAGTAGAACAAGAAAATGGGGAAGCAGTGTTGAAAATGGGAGCAGGTCTCTTAAAAGAATCGTGAAAGCAGAAGGGCCAACATGTCACAAAGGCACCTAAGGCAAGAGGCTGCCTTTCCTAAACACTTAAAACCTCCTTGTAAATGCTAGCATTGATTATAAGGAATGGACTGCTGACCAGAATAAAATTGCCTGGGGAAAAACTTCACTTTAAATCTTTCATTTTTCATTTTTTTAATAAGGGTCATACATGCATGAGCTGCAAAAATGTCAAGAGTCCATAGTGCTCAATATCCTGAGGACCATTTCCTCTTTAGAATGAGATTTTCCATTCAAATTTAAAACTTTTGCAACCCACTGGAATTTATTTGTGCTGTCTCTGTTCCTCCAATGTTTTGAAAAATTCCATGTGCTAAAAAAAATAGCTATGAAATGAAACAAAAATTGAATCTTCAAAAGTACTTACAAAACTGTACTTTCCAAATTATGATTCAGTGTTTAAAACAACCTTTCATTTGGCTTTTTGGAAAGTTTCCCAGGTTCCAAGAAGACTTAGGAGTCAGGAGTCCTAGGAGCCCTTGTGGATAATCCTCAGAGCTGGTTTAGAGCTGATAAGCCTTCTTTCCTTGGCTGCAGGTCATACAGCAGATTTTCAAATATCTGGGCAGATGACATGGAAGATAACTGGGAGGTTTTGAAATTTGCATCTTTCTATGATATTCATGTGCAAATGAGTGTATGTCCGTGGACAGCTTTCATTTTAAAACACTGGGATTCTGCAGCAGAAAAAAAAAATATGCCTTAGAAAAATCTACAGCATGTTCAGGATTTCCTTTTTCTAATCAATGCCAGGACAATCCAGTTAATAGGACTAAAAGTGAAATACAGTCATGAAGGGATTATTGACATTCTGTTTTGAAAATGCTCACAGGTTGTCTAAATCCTGAGTAGTAAATTGCTGACACAGACCCTAAGCTTTTCCAGGGAAAATATGAGATGCCAGTGCTGACCCGTGTCATTGCAAAGCTGCAGCTCCTATGCAGGACACTTGGTGGTTCTGTATCTAGTGCTCTTTCTCCCCTCTTAGATGTGAGCCAGCTTCCTGAGATGCTATATTAGCATGCCCAGAAATGCCATATCTTATGTGATTTTGTGATATCATGTCCAAATTGAATTTATAAAAATTAGATTATTTATGTCTATTTTTGAAACATCTGAAATACAGTTACTGATTCAGAAACTGATGTTAGTGTCATTTGGTTTAGTAATAATCTATTCCCATATTGTGTTTCATCTCTGGACTCTGGAGCACCTTACCATCGTTTTGATTGCACCAAGTCAGAGAAAAACTGAGGCAAGAATAGGGAACTGACTTATGCATCACCACACATAAAATTAGACGGGTCCCCTCCAGTCAGGCTCCATTCACCCACTACCACAGTAACAGGGATTGCCTCAGTGCTCCGATCATCCCTCTTCTGTGAATAATGACTAATGCTATTGAAAAGAATACTCTCAGATATCTTAGATGTAAAAATTGTTCACAAATATTTATTCATATTTTTAAACAGCGTTGTGAATGTGTGGGCACTCCCAATGTGTGCTTTTTTCATTAATATCCTAGCACAGGAGCTTGTTGGCAGGCATGTTGCTGTAGCAGACAGTTTGATGTTTAATTTTGAGGAATTTCGAGGTAAAGTAAATATTGGATGTGCAGTGAGTAGTTTGACTTTACATGTACATTTCTCCAGTCAAGGAACACTGTCCCTTTGCCCTTCGCTCCATCAGACTGTCTGCAGTCAAAAGAAATTGTTTGAAATAACAGATATACACAGGGCAGTATTTACAATTAAATTGTATCCTAGGAAGCGACTGTAGACGTTATTTAGTGAAGATTATTAAATAATGCTGTGTGTATTCATGTTCTTGGTATATTTTGAGGAGACATAGGGAAAAACTGTCCTGATGTCTTAATAAGGAAATAAATTTCTGTAAATTAATCTTTTTGCCAGGTAAATAATTAGATGTGCGTGTGTTTTGCTCAGTCAGCCCGAGGAGTGTGACCAGACCTCCCTAAATCCATTTGTAGGTTATGTATAGCTTTTCTTCACTGCATTTGACTTTGCCTCTGTGAGGAGAAGCTCTAGTCTGTGAGTAAGATCTGGGGCACTGTGATTTGGTTCCTGGGCAGAGGCAGGACGATAGTGAGGAGGCAAAGGGTGGATATCAACTTGTTTTTCCCACAGCTGTGAGACCTGTGATCAGACCTCTGTGCCAGGTCTCTATACTTCAGACGTGTGCAGCTTCTTTTCTGCACCTCCCCAGTCTCACAGCCAAGCTGTGTCTATATTATTACTTTTTCCCATTAGTAAGTCCCAATGGAGAAGAAATTAGAGAGACACAATGAATTAGACAATTTTCCTTCCTAGCAAAAGTGCTATAAACCTGTTGTTTTCTCTGGCTTGTGTAGGACTGCTTTTGTCAAGTCATAGTACATTTTTGCTTATCCCAGTGCCTTTAGCTGTTGGTTTCATTATCATAAGCTTATTCAGATGCTTCTAGCTTTCTTTTGTTGTGTCTAATAAGTAATTAGTGTAGTTTAATAGGTCGTTGTTGTTGCTTTTTCCAGAACAGAATAATAATAAAAATCCAATTTAAATATAAAGTTAATCAACTGTAATTTTCCTTACACTTCTGTACATCTCCAGGTAAGTTTGCAACAGTAATCTGGGGTTTGACAGATGACACCTAAAAATTTCTTTACATACTTATTGGTAAGAACTTTTATGGCTATCATCAGAGGTTTGGTATATACAGATACTTTGGTATATCATGCACTAAAATATGTCTTTTTCAGAAGTAGGAGATACAGCCACTCATGACAGCTTTAGTGAATTAAGCAGCGGAAACAATCTAAGGACAAGTGCTTGATGTTTAGCTCAGTTAATTCCAATTAAAACCTTCATAGTAATTTTTAAATCTAATGTAGAAATGTCCTCTTGCTATTTGCTGTTTTTCCTGAGTATCTTTAATAAGTAACATCACGTAGATTGAATATTAACTTTAAAAATTATTTTTTGGTGATTGTTAAAATCCCAAAACCTTTACAAAATATACAGGGTAATAAAGAGAAAAAAATGTACAGAAGCCTTTATCTGTTTAAGTATCCCAGTGACATCACAGACTATTTATGCTTTTCTCACATTTATCATGAGGTCACTAGATGGTTCTCATAATCATTTTAGTTCACTATTCTCTGTTGTACCTTTTATCTCTCACATGTATATTTCTCCCAGCACACGGGTATATGTTAATGTCATGCTTGTTTACATGCCTGTGAAGATTATTGTTTTACTTCTCAAAGAGTTAGTGTACATGTGCTATGAGTAAACTGTGTGATAATCTATGTAAATTATGTGCACAGAAGCTATACTTTGTCCTTGGGGGAAATGCAAATTAGAACATTTTGTAGTTTGTTTGTTTTTAAATACATACACTTTTCACTTCAAGGCTCAGGACAGATTCCCTGTTTATTTTCCCATTGCTCATAATTTGTTTTTTCTTGTAAATATCTCAGTCTTTAATGATTAGTTTGTTACTTTGGCGGGGAAAAAAAATGCTTGATGAGAGAAGTCCTCAGAACGTAATGTTTGGTCTATTTTATAGCTCTGCTGTAAGAGAATTATCTGCCTGTAAAAGGGTGTATAACACGCTCACAACTCAAAGCCATTATAGCGATCTGACAGTCTTCATTCATTTTCTCCTAGTGCCCTCTTGTTTTCTTCTTTTATGTTAGTGGTTGTAATATTTTTTAATCCTGCATTACTGAAACACAGAGTGAACAGATTTTCCTTATATGAAGCAAGAAAAATGTATTCATAAAATGTGCTGTTTACTGCACTCACAGTTCTCTGCTGATGTAAATTTTTGTTTTAATAAAATTCTTTTTATGTTCCTTAAGTACCCTCTCGGAGAAATGTTTTAATGTAAGTTGTCTGATTCTGTTTTAAGTGAAGGAGAAAACCTGGTAGAGGTTGTCTCTTTAAATCAGATCTGCAGTGTTGATGGACCCTCTAGCAGGCACGGTAAGAACCATTCTCACCTCTGCAGCAGGGAGCTTGACCATATAGACTCTCACATTCAATCAAAACGTTTTCCCTTTTAATATGCACTGTACCAATCCTATTCCCATGGTTACAGCTCGTGCTTCCTTGGTTGCTTCCAGTCTGTTGGAAAAGGAAGGCAGCATACATTGCTCGTACAGGAGTTTAAAACATCGTGAAAGCAACCCTGTTGTGATTTGCATTTTAAATTTTTCTTTTTTTTTCTGATTGTACAGAATGCTGTAGCAGTAGCTTCAGTTCATTTGCCACAGTCTGTCTTCTCTCAGTCTTCATCCTGGCAATCTGTTGATAACTCCACTTGCAAGCTACAGTTTATTGTCTTTCGGAATGGAAAACTCTTTCCTAGCACAGGAAACTCATCAAATCTTGCCGATGATGGGAAACGTAGGACGGTTGCCACACCAGCTGTTTTTGCTAAAATAGGTGAGGAGTTGTTATGCATTAATTCTTTTAATCGAAAAGCTGCGGTGTACTTGATTATGTAGAGAATAGAGGAGTAGAGTATGCAATGTGCTGAGAGGCTGGAAACAGTCTCTTTCTTTAGTACAAATGTTTGCAATTGTTCCTGTCTGCATGGGTTTATTCAGATTATCCGACAAATAAAGAAATGCACTTGCTGTATGACTCGAATGCAAATTTTGGACTACTGTTTGTTGACAGTGTTGTTACAGATGCTTGTTTCTTAAAGCATGGTGCTGTAGGAAAGAACCTTGTTGTATTCTTTACAATGAAAATTGCACTGCTAACGCTCTAGACAGCGATAAAAATAAGGCTTTTGGAGTGGGAGTAGTGCCCTGTTGCATCTATTAGTGTTCACCAGTATACTTTCTGATATGATGGATGAAAAACAGGTGTTGTTAAAGGCTTTTGTCTAAATGTGATGTGTTGTATGTGCTAGTGAGTCATTATTTTGATTGATTGTTCACCTAGGCAATTTTACTAATTTTATTTGATACTGAATAGTGCTCTCATTTCCATTAACATTTTTAAATGTGACTTATCAGAGTGCAGAACTGTCTCAGCTATTCATACCATGAAACTGAGGCTTTTCTGCAGTTACATGAGCAATAGTGTAACACTGGTCTTAACTGAAGAACCTGAAACAAGAAAAAATCCACTTTGTGAAGGATGATTAGATCATATGGACATATAACATGACTGAAATGTTCAGATTCATTTATACTATTGCAAACTTTTCTGAACGTGAGCACTACCTTTGATTTTGTCCATTAAGAGTGTATGTCTATTGCTTTTTTTCCCCCATAGTTTAGTGTGTCTGATCTCTTTACACAGCATCCATCAATAAAAGGTTTTCTACTCCCTCTCTCTGATTCAGTTTGTTGCTTTTGCAGATGGGTGCAGTTTTGGAAACCTCACCAACCCTCTTACTATTGGGTTGAGGCACTTTGCACGGGGTATAGACCCCATTGCAGCCTTCTGGGATTTTGACCTTCTAGATGGACATGGAGGCTGGTGGGGAGAAGGGTGCCACATAATTAGTTCTGCAGGCAATATTACCACCATTCAGAGTACACACTTCAGTAACTTTGCAGTGCTAATGGTAAGTATATGACTTAGCAAATATACCTATATTTCTGTCTTTCTCTCTCTCTGTTTTGGCATACATATATGTTCTTTTTACATTCATATGTATCATTATTACTTGTCAGTAACTGGCCTGTTTTCTGTAATGTTTATTATAAGGCAATTTTAAAGAAAGTAAGTTATTTAACTGCTAGTAAGTGAATAAACCCAGTCGTCAGTTTTAATATCCAGAGACAGGCCTAATCAGAAATGACATTAAATTCAGTCTTACAAATGAAAGTTCCATCAAGGAATGATTAGTATGTAATGGTTATAAATTATAGGACAGGGCTTAAAAATATATACTCCTGTGTGCTTTTACATCAGCACATCTCAGAGGCTGGTCTGCTTTTGTTCCTGCCCTGCACTGTGTTGATCATACTAATTAGTTGCAGGCATACCGCAATGTTGAATCATTTAATAAATGGACAGGAATAACATCTTGTGCTCTTTTAAGTAAGGACAGTGCTGTCCTTGTTGATTCTGTAAGAGTTTTGGTTTGTGTACCAATGCAGATAGCTTTCTTATGAAATTTCTGTTCGTGAAGAAAATATTTCTGTGCAGTGCTAACACATCAGCTGCTTGGGTCTGTTCTCAGTCACACTTACAGTTCCCATTGCAGTTATTTAACTATCCTGCCTAACATAAAGTTACCTTCATGAAAGCAAAAATATTAAGCAGTAACGACCTGGTATTATTCAGAGAATAAAGGGAAGCAAGCAAAAATGAGAGGTGTCTAACATATATAGGTGATAAAATGTTTGCACCATTAAAAATATTTATTATAAACCAATTGTAAAAAGATTAGCCAGTTGTGTACTATTAATACCAGATTGATCCTGAATGCTGGTGCATGATTGGATTGTAGGTGCTGTTTGTGTATATTACAGAAATGTTTATAGTTGAGTAAATAATGTATTGTGTGTATGTGTAAGGGACAGCAAACATAGGCGACAGGAATTGCGAGGACGTGTGCAGAGAATACCAATCTGCTGCTGTCAGATGGAGCCCAGATGGCAGCCAATCATAGCACAAGGCCGTAGCACCCACGAGTTAAATGCAGATATTATCATCTACTTCGTAAGAACTGATTTCTCTCAGTTACTTGAACATTTTTTCACCCATTCCAGAATTGTTCAGAATTCAAGAGCTGTTCCTAAGATTTGATGACATCAATATACCTCATTTTCAACTGCTTCTCTGAGTTCCCTTTTTCCCCCAGCCACTTGTTTCCCCCAATGTGAGAAGTAATTTTGCTTCGAGGATGTTTTTCTAAAGTCATGAATGAAAGCACCTGTTGGCTTTGCAGGTGCCACACCCAAAATGGCTTCCTCCTTCAACTGCTTGGGTTCAGCTTGTTCTTCTTAAACTTTGAGTAGCTACTAAATATTAATTAATTGCTTGCAAACAATCAGTTTCACAATTTCAATTTGTTTGCAAAAAAACTGTATACTGACACAAGGGCTACGGTTAATTTTTGGTTCATAAAGCCAAATGCACGACTATCTCTGATAAGATGTAGCAGATTGGTTTTTCTACAACTGTAAAGGCAACCTTTTACTGCAGCTGTTGTATCTGGTATGTAATTTTGGTTTAGGTCTTCTCTTTGTTTTGTTATGGTAATTCAACTTTGCTCTTTTTCATGTGTGCATCTTGTATTTTTATTTGTGCAGGACAAGAAAATACAATGTTAAGGCTTGCCCTTGCTTTTTAATTGATATGGTGACAAACCATGTGGTATTATCCTTGGCTCATGTTTTGCAGTCACTTTTAAGAAAAAAGATGCCTGACCTTAAGTCACTTTAATATATATACACACACACACACAAATATGTCTTCCAACAGCTGTCTTTCTAAACAGCTACTGGAAAACTTTGGTAGCTTGCTGTGTGCAACCATTTTCATTCAAGTGTTATTTCCTGATCAGTGCTTTGTGGCATAAAGTCAGGGATTGTTTCATTAGATAGAGACTGCACTTTTTTGGTTAGTTCAGTTTACATACCAGAAATTAAAAATATTTAATTGTTCTGCTTAGCTATTAATTTATAATGTGAGCAATATAAAGCGCCTGTGTGTCATCTTACTTCACATGTGAGTGCCTAATGTATTTTTAAATACTAACAAACCGACAGCAAATTCAAAAAAGCTAGCATAAGGTATATAACCAATGAGATTAGCTACAGTATCATGATAAATGTTATTAATCTATAATTCCGTAATCTATTAAACTATAAAAATTCATAATTGATTATTATGTTTTGGAGTAATAGCAGAAAAATGAAGTAACATCTGTAAACTGAAGAGCAGCAATAAAGCAACAGTGATGAAGGTTTACGTTGTCATCAGAATAATGTTTATCCTACTGTGGAACGAGATGAAATAGAAGCCCCAGTTAATCCAAATGTCAGTTTTATAGCGAGTACAGCACTTATTCTGATTTGTCATCTTTATAAATAGCAAGACAAAGTTCCCTGAACTGCTTTTATAAAAGTTGTTTTTGTCTATGTACTATAAAAGGGTTAAAATAAAGTTTTCATAGAGTGCTTTTTTTAGAAAGGCAGCAATCAAGGATTTATCAGCTATGATTGATAATTAATAAGCATGAGCATACTTCAAGTGAGAGGATTCATGTAGAGCCATTTGATTTCTCTCTGTGACAGTAGTTCAAGTGATGTCAATGAGAGAGCAAGCACAGTTTGAAGGTTGGGTTGGAAAGGGAATGCAAGCTCCTTCCCTCACATGCTCTCACACTTTTACTCTGTTCTGAGTTAGGCCAGTGGGTAGAAGTAAAATAATAGTGTAAAAATACAGCATTATCTTTTTCTGATCAGCTTTTGAATGGTGTATCCTAGGATTGAGACAAAAATACAGTGAACTGAACTCCTGATATGTTTTTGCCTTTCCTTTCATACACTCTGCATTCAGACCAGTCTACTCTTTTGTCGTCTGTTATCTGAACGAGGAGGAGAGACAGTCACACTCTAGCTTCTTTTGGAGGTGACCAAAGCCCTCTAGGGTCTTTGAACTATGAACCTCCACATTATGATTTTCTTTTTCAGAGTAAAATTATGAACTTATATATTCAGAAACTTTGGCATATCTAATTACAAGTATCTGTTCTGTAGATACTATATATTTGTGCTCTTTTGTGAACTGAGCTGTATATCAATATTTTAATTTTTCAGGACAATGTTTGTGTATGTTATGACCAATCCAGTGACCTGTTGTCATATTATAGATGAGTAAAAATTCTTCAGGAGATAACACAAATATCCAACAGCAACACTGAATTTCAAATTCGTTAAGTATGTTTTGTTATACGTTGTCTTTTGTTGTTCCTTTCATTTTTCTTAGGACAGATTGGCAATTTAGTAGTGGTGGATATTACTGTAATTGTGTATAGCATCTTCTTTTCCCCTTCAGACTGCTTTGTCAATAGTAATTTCCTGAAATCTCCCAAACAAACACTAGTAAAATTCCTGTATCTAAACATGCTACTTTCCAAATAGCATAAAATGGATTAATAAATATTGTTAGCTTTTTTAATGACGATCCTGAAGGTAAGGTAAGTTAAATTAATATAAATTAATACAAATTAATTAACAGCTCCTTTCTTGTTCTATCACGATGTATCTCATTGTTCCAAACGTCATAGGTGGGGGGATTTTTGGATTTTTATTTTTTCTTTATGAGTGTAAGGAGTCATTATTTGCAAGAGAAGCATACCTTCAGTGGACAGATATTTGAAATAATTACAGCTGAGGAGACTGAGAGGACAAAAACAGAGTAAATTTTAAATTATTCTGAAAGCAAACCCTGGAAATCTTTGTGAGTGAGAAATTGAGGAGAGGCATGATACTAGGAGAGGCTCATGCTAAGAGTTACAGGATTTTTCTCCTGTTGTTTTAGAAATATTCTCTCAGTCTTTTAAGTCTTTCCAAACTGGTAGGATCACAGCAACACAAAAGCTCTGTTTTCAGTATTTTCAGTGTGATTGGAGACAATTGCAAAATTTCTTAGGTCTATCTATGAAGTTCAATTCTGAAAGCAATCTTCTAAACTTCCATGTTTCAGGCCTTCTCCAAATTAAATAGCTTGTTTTAGCCTTTTGAGAAATTAATTCCTAAGTCAGGGAAGTATTACTGTGATGTCATTTAGAAGGTTGACATAATTACAGTATTTGGCATTTTCCCCATAGAGAAAGCAAGGTTTTCTTCAAACAGGCTGTGGACTTGTGGTACAGTACTTCAAAAAAATCAGACTGCTTTAGAAGAGAGGCTTAAGAAGGAACTTTTCAAGGTGGTTTTTTTTTGTGTGTGTTTAAACACCTACTTTTACACGCATGGAATATTCCTTAGATTCTTAGCACTAAAGACTGTGAAAGTGATCCAGAAGTTTATCTGCTATCTGCAAAATTAACATGTGTGTGTTTAAACACCTACTTTTACATGCATGGAATATTCCTTAGATTCTAAGCACTAAAGACTGTGAAAGTGATCCCGAAGTTTATCTGCTATCTGCGAAATTAACGTTTATTGTAGTGTGAACTGCAAAATTCCCTGGAATTAGATTCCTCTGCATGTACATAGATGATTCCCAGTGTGAAGAGCTAGTTTACCAAGCTCTGCTGTCATTCAGAGGCTGAGCAAGGAAGCACATACTCTTTACTTAAGTCCTCAACTGGCATGTACTGCTTGCTCACCTAGCAGAGAATGCTTAGCCCATATGGTTAGTATTGAGTCCGGCTTCACAGAAAAGGTTGCACATTCCTGAATGTGCCAATCTTCAGCATAAAGCCTTGGAATTAGAGTATACATAAGGGCAAGATTTGTCTTTTATTCCTTTCTCCTTGGATTACAACTACTTTTGATTTAATTACACTTAATAGCATGTATTATTTGCTCTGTAAAATGCATAAACTGGCTTGGTACTGGAGACAAACGTCCAGGTTTCTCTCCTTCGGAATGCCTCTGGCTCAACCTCTTTCTTTTTATTTGCTCTTGCTTTCTGCTGGTTAAATGGATCTTTGATTCTTGATGGTGCAGCTTCAAGTGGAGGGTAAAAGGATCCAGACTATAAAGGAACTCAGTAAAATGAGCTAACTGTTGCAAGATATGAGATATAAGTCAAAGACCTAGAATCTAGGTCTTAAGCCATCTTATTGTCTTGATGGCTTCTACTGAGCTCCTTCCAATTCATCAAAGTCTTTGTTGACTGAAGTTCCCCAAACTGAACACACTAGTCAAGATTTGGTCTCACAAGTGGTGAATAGAAGGGAATAATCTCTTCCTTCAGCCTGCTGCCTGCACTCTTGCTAGTATGGCCTAATGTACTGTTCACCTTGCATCCCACAAGGGCTCACCAGTGCCTTGCTTTCAGTTTGCTGTCCACCAGGACCTTTTCTGCTTTCTCCAGCCTGTTAAGAGCTTGGCCAATAGCAGTCCTCCTCTCCAGCACATCAACTGCTTCACTCAATTAGCTTTGCAGTGTTTCCAACTCTCTGTAGAGACCCAAGTCTGTGGGTACTTTCCATATTCTGCTGCTCCTATACATCCTAATATCTGGCACCTATTTTTAAAGTTTTGTTATAAGAAGGAGGAATCTAAGTACAAATAAGAATCTAAATCCCACCATAACTGTTCAAATGCACTTGAGTTTCTAAGTCTCTGTAGTGCTCAGATATCACTTCCTTGAGGAATGCAAATTCAGGTGTACTGATTTAAAACCAGAAACCAGTTAGACTATACTTTCTAAAATTATAGCAATGCAAGCAATTATTAAAAGCAAATGTTTAATTTGCCAATATAAGTAGGTGGATTATAGAATCTTGCAGCGTAAATAGATTGTTTTTAGCATCTGTGATTTTGTCAAAGTACTAGATATTTACTACTTGTTCACTGTATCTTCTCCTCAGCTTTCTCACCATGTATGGCTAGAAGTCTCACAGCTGTATTTGGTACATAATTTGTTTATATTTCTTTATACTTTCATATTGACTTTTAACTGATCAGTATAGATGTGTCTGTTTCAGTCAATTTTTAGAAAGTCTCCAGTAAAAATGAAACAGTCTCATTTGCACCCCAATGTTTTTGTAGTTCTAATTGTCAGATGAAATAGCTGATAAAAAATATTTTCTGTTTATAGAATATCACTGATTTCTGTTGTGCCTGATATACTATGGTGGCATTTACAGCTGAAATAAGCTAGCTTCACACCTTATAAAGGTGAATGAGTGACAATTTCTCATTAGACAACGTTTTACTGGTCTTGTAGTTGTAGACAGCAGTTTGTAATGGTCAAAGTCTTGTGTGTATTCATTTTCCTGTAGAAAATTTGTACCATTTTTCAATATCACCGTCATTTGAATCCCCTCTGGGAAATAAAATGAAACTCACCTTTTTAAAACGTAACATATAATTATGCTACTTTGTGTACAACATTTTAAAAACCCCTTTGTTTTCTGCATGCTATCTTCTCCAGAGGATTACTCAGGGGAGACTGACAAAACAATAAGGCTTAATTAACATCAAAAAGCAGATGAGATATATTTGTTATATACCTATAATGAAATCAATTTTCAATAGGCAAAACTCTTAAAAAGGATATTCTACACTGGCAATTCTGTTATACTCAAAAGTTTTACCACTTATTTATAGTACAAAATTAGAAATGAGATAGTAAAATAATATAATAATAACTAATAATGAAATGAATACTTTAAAATGTAATTAGCTTTTAAGATACTGATTGTTCTTGATTCTTCTCAAGCAAAGTGGCTGTATTCATGTAGGACATGACATTTGCTTTTAGAGAGATGTTCAAACATAGTGATAGTTTGATCCTTGCATTTGCACGGTTAAAAGCTATTCCTTTAGTTCAATGGATGATACTACCTCAAGTAAAATTGCTTTCATTTGTTGGTACATAAATGTGTAGCTTCACTGTGTTTCCTTTGTCATAACTTTGTTAACTTCTCAGAGTATTTTTTTCAGAAATATCTAAGATATTTAATTCTTTATAAAACTGTACTGTTACTGTTCTGTTAGTTATAGTAACAGTTTTCTTAATGCACAGAAATGAAGCAAGTGTGGGTATAAAATTATGATAAACCATACTATTGGTATACCAATATATGATTGTATCTCTAAGAGCTACATGTAAATATTTTACCATTTTAAGCAAAGTATTTACATGTATTTATATTTAAATTGTCCAGTATTCATATTAATACTGTAGTAATATGAGCCAAAATTGTACTGAACATTTCTGGTAAATAATAGTCTAGCTCAAGAAATTGAGTCTGTAAAAGAATTAATGGCTACAGGATGCAAATAAAAACATGGGAAGAAAGATGGTCTAAAAAAACCAAAAGTGTTTGAGTGGAGTTTCAGTTGCAGTTATGAGCCAATAGACTTCTAAAGAATGATGATAAATTTCTGAATTGTGTATATCCTGAATGTATATTCATGTACACATAAAAAAAAAAGTCTCCACCTCTGAGCTTGATTCTTGGTGAACTGGGCAAGGCTGAGAAGACTTGTCTGGGGGACAAATGATGACTGAGAAGATTTAACTGAGGTACATATGTAAACTGAAGAAGTACTTGAAATGGGAAGTACTTTGCCATCTTGTTCATGTTATTTGTTCATTTTGATGAACTTTTTTGTGTGCTGTAAGCTGCTCTGTTTTAGAACTGACAATAATATGCATCTGGAGAAACAGGTACAATCAGTCTTAGGAACTTTAAAGCTAGTATGGAGAAAAACAATGACTACTAGGGCATCTGTTACTTGTAAGGACCTTTCTGGAAGGTAAATATTACAGTGCCTTTCCCCCTGATTTAATAATTGCCTATACTCATGAACATTATCTGCTTGTACATGGACAAGTTCATATACATAAATAATGGTGCTGGAAATCAGCTCTCTGCATGCAAATGCGATTAGAAAAATGTATTAGCATTACAGTCCCAGACTCTAAAGGGGAGATTTCACCTCAGGAAAATAATGTATTGAATCTTCTTCCAGCGGAAATTAAAACTGACAAATAAGAAAAATGTCCTTTAAATGTATGCCAGTATTTTCAGTGCTAGAGTTTGTTGGATTGTCATATTCAGTACTTTTTCAGATTTTAGCCTTTTCTGTGCTGGGCTGTATATTCATTTTTGTGTGCAGTTAGTGATGCTTCACATGGAAATTGTCACTCGGGTTTTGTGCAAAGTAAGATAGTTTGTGTCTAATTTATAGTACTTGTTTGCAGAAATACAGTGCCACAAACAGATGTGGCTTAATGTATTACAGTGAACCTCTGATGTTTGGTTAAATTCAGATAGTTTGAAGCCATACTGTTTTCTGTAATAGGCTCCTTTTCCTTTCCATCCATCATACCTTCAGATTTAGCACTCCTATTATTTCTTACGTGAGATCTAGTAATTTAGAATGTGAATTTTATATGGTTAATTTTACAAAGGTATTAATATTTTTTAATTATGTTTTTTATGAAGAATTGTGTCAGTAGGCACTAGCAGATCCTAAAGGAATGCATTGTTCTTTACTCTGCTGTTAATATTGCTGTCAAGCTGCTTTTGAATTGATATAGGTAGCAGAGTATTTGCAAGTGTGAAGGTCACTGGGTCAGAGGAGGTGTATCACCTGGGAATTATATTTGAATATAGCATTGAGTCAACTGATATTTTATGTGTATTCTCATGTCTTTTGTTTCTGTGAATGGTTCTTCTACAGCCATGTATATGCCATTTAGTGACCTTTATGGTAATTTGATATTTTGTACTTAATATCCTAGTAAAATATACACACATAAAGTTCATGTAATCAGAAGGAACAGATATTGCTAATGCCTGGAAAATGTAATATTCTGTGTATTTTTCAGACTTTTTTTTTTTATTAGGTTATGTCTGCTTGTACAAAAAGGTTAATTTTTGTCTTGCAAAGTGCATGCAGATAAGGAAAGTCTGATGTTATTGTAAATTCATGAACTATATCTACATTAAAAGTTCATCTATTTTTCCTGCTTTTGAAAGGGAACAGCTAGAAACAACAGGACATATTGAAACAAAGTCTCAGAGTTTCACACATGCCTAACAATGTTAAATCGTTTTGCTTTCTCCATAGGATTTTAAGACAGTGCTGTCTTTCCCCCAGTACCCAGGGGAGTTTCTGCACCCTGTGGTATATGCCTGCACTGCGGTTATGTTGCTGTGCCTGTTTGCTTCCATTATCACCTACATTGTCCATCATAGGTAAGAGTCCAATTTTAAGCCTTTGTATTAAATGACCAGCATTGTGCTGAGGTCCTTCGATTTTTCTAACCCTTGCTGAAAGATAAATTAAAATTATCTGAATTATCTGCTGGATAGTGATACCAACAATGTGATTTACACCAGAGAAATTAAAAAAAAAAAAAAGTTATGTCAACCTTCAAACTTTCTCAAGCTGTTCTTAAGCTGTATCTTTGCTGAGACGTGTCTAAATGGTCTGCACACTTTTCGTAAGATTTCTAACTTGATAATTAAATCTAAAATCATGAGCACTGTTAAATTGCTTTTTGGCAAATGCCAGTCAAGCAGGCCTCTGGACAGCAACGCTGGTGCTCTTGGCTTCTAAGACCAAGTTTGGTTGAAAGACTGGTAACTGTATTTGGACAGCAGAAACTTTCTTTGCCTTCTAAGTCTTCTTGGCTTTAGAAAACTTGTGTTTTCATTTATATGAAAGATTTATATAAATGCCATTTTAACTACAGACTTCTGTTAAAGACCATTAGCAATTTAAAAGAGTAGGAATGTATTGTACTGTAGAAGCTGCTAAATATTAATTAAGTGAACTTAATGCAATGACTTCTGATCTTCAGCTTCCATTTAATCCTTTAGAGATGTCTCGTTAAAGTTCTGCATATCTGAAGCTTTGCAGTAAGCCTTCTGCTTTTATTACTCTACTTTAAATGCTTGACTGGATGGAGGAAGCTTTAAGTCAGTAGTCTACAGTTTTTATCATTGATTTTACCTTTTTACCCTAGATTTCAATGCTGTATAAGTCAGACTGTGTCCTACAGGTAGGTTGCTAAGTAGGTATTGAAGAAGCAGAGAATTTAATTCTATCATATTAAGCATTTTTTTTCCCAAATCATAATTTTCATAGTAGATACATTGGGTTTTAATTTTAAAATGTGATTTTTCAACAGTACAATCCGAATAAGCAGAAAAGGATGGCACATGCTTCTCAACTTTTGCTTCCATACTGCTCTTACATTTGCTGTTTTTGCTGGTGGAATCAATCGCATTAAATACCCAATTATATGTCAAGCTGTAAGTATCTGCTTTAGTAATTCTTACTTAATAGAATGAAAAACTGAAACTGTATCTTTTAGCATTATATTGATAGCTCTCTTTCTTTTCATAAATTGTTCCTGGATTTTAAGTTCTTCAGAATAAGTCGTCATCATAAGCATGTCTTTTAAAGGCTAGCACTGGGACTGTTCAGTGTTGGGTTGTCTCCTAAGTTTCTGTGAGAGGATGACCAATGCATTAACCCCTCTGCAGCTCAGACTTCCTTGTTTTAAAAAAATCCCTGAAAATCATATTTCTCTGTTGTACAGAATAGTTGGAAATTATGATTCCCAAATATTTCTGTCCTCTCTAGTCTTTGGATTGAATGTGTGGAACTAAAGTTACTGCTGCACTTTTGTAATGTGTATACCATCTGCCTGAGGGTGGTCCTGGCTTCATTGGGTGATCCCTAAATATACACTTGGACAGCTTAATGTTCATAATATGATATGGTTTTTAATTACAATTCAAGCTAAGGAGACAGAACAGATCAGTACATTTGCAGCTTCTGGACCCCTGTTTGTACTGCTGGACTATTTCAGTTTTCTTGCTTCCTCCTTGCCAGGGATATAGTGCTATGAGATGCACAGAGAGGGCATGGCTTCATCTGCTCTAAGTGTAGAGACCGAGTCAGTACAGTGCATGAAGAGAATGATTTCAGTTGTCTTCTGTATAGCCTGATGAGGACTTGTTGCAATTTGTCTTAAATATTTATTCTCAGATTTTGTAGTCCTCCAGATCTCATGAATGTTGTTGGTATTTACCCTTGGTAAAGCACTTTATTAAGCCAACATTCTCCCAGATATTTTGCCTGTTGCTAATCTGGTTCTTATGATTGGCTCAAATGAGTGTAAACAGCAAGAGGTGCCAGCCAACAGCAGAGTCACTGCAAAACTTGTGTAACTAGTCTAAGAGTTATTGCTCAAATTTTTGGTGAGATGCTTTGGAAGCCTTTTGTGTGTTCTTGCATGTAACCATCAGTAAACAGCACATGTAGAGCACCTGTAATGTTCTACGTGTCGAGTCTACCTAGGTATATTACATGGCATTTGTTTAAACAACACGGTTGTCCACTAGATTATTCTGAGATAAATACTTCACAATATCTAACATATTCTATCATAATTATTCTGTGTGTTCTGGTAAATTGAAGTATCACTTACCATTGTCTTTACCTGCAGTTTGCAAGTGAGGGTAGCATAATAGTTTGTAGGGCAGGCATGGCCGTGTAATTACATGATCACAGATGACCATCTGTTGTATCAATCGTCATCTGGTTATTTACTTTGTAGATTGCATGGTAACAATGCAGTATTAACAGCTATAATGAAAAACTGATTGAGATAAATGAGTTATTAATAATCTGTTATGAGTAATACCTAAACCACAGGGACATCTTAATAAAATGCATTATCAGTGACAGCTGTTTCTTGCTATGGTATAGGGCCAGGTCCTGAGCTGCCAGGAAACATGCACAATTAAAGAAACTGAATGAGTCTACATATGCCTTCTAATTGGTTTCATAAAGTTATTTATTTATCTGACATCATACTACACCAACACACAATATCATCAGCAGTTAAAATATAGGAAAGATACAGGACTCACAAGAAGCAGACAGTCCTTGGTTCCTGGTAGAAACTGTGCAATATCATTAGGTGAGACTAAGGGATTCAACAATCCAAACAATCTAAGACTCCTATTGATAGTAAAAGGCTGAAAAGTGTTTTTTCAATGTTCTTTCCCAGAACATTTTACCCTTCCTTGTGTATGGACAGCAATGTTTTTAAAATTCTGTGAGTCCCAGAGCCTGTCTCCTCCTGTGATATCCCTGAGAGTATTAGTCTGTGAATTAATGTTCAGGGCGCCAAAGCTAGAGCTAGGTCAGACCAGCTAATGGTTTTCCAGGAAGCTCACATGTTTGAACATTTCCCATTGCTTCCATAAGCAGTGATGGGGTGGACAGCACTCCTTTTCTCCTGCATATCAAATACAGCAATTCTTTAAATCAGCCTCATGAAAGGTAAATTTATATAGGTATTTTGGGTTTACATGAGAGTCAGATCTTAGCTTTGCATCTTTCTCCTTTTTCTTTCTTTTATAAAATTTTTAGAGTTCTGGAAAAAAAATTAAAGTGTATTTGTAAAAATATAGCTGATTCAAGCAGCACTAAAACAGTAGTTATACTGCATGTGTAACACATCAGTGCTGCTATAGCACAAGTATCTTTCCATCTGCTGCAGTACAAAACACAGCTTCACCCTGCAGCTATGTGATTTACACTTTTTGTTTCCTGAGTGCATAGGAGAAGATTCCAAGTGCAAGCATTTTCTGTCCTAATCACTGAAATCTGGTGTCAGAGCCAGTAAACCTCCACCTTTTGTATTGTAATTACTGCTAAAACTTTCATTTAATTTCACTGCAACATCCTTACCCAAGTGAAACAATAGAGTTAATTTTTACCCTTCAAAACTAACCAAAAAGGGTGATTCTAAAATAACTTAATTTGAATCACCTTCTCCTTCTAAATGAGGTGTCCAGGCCTAATTTTAAGCAGCATGAATTAATGGTATGGAAATGGACCCATTTTCTGTGATAGACAGCTGGAAGAACCTTCATATCCCCTTGAAGGTAAAGTAATTACACAAACAAAGTGTATTTTCAGAGATGGTAAGATTTCTTTTTATCTGAAATCTAAAAATCTAAGACTTGGTTTTAAACCTGTATACCTGTTTCAGAAAAGATTTTGTATAGATGGTTTCACTTGCATATGGGCTATGAAGTCTTTATGATTTATGAGGAAAATTGATGTTAGAATGCTGGTCTGGAAGAGTTGACCGCTTCTTAATAGATTTCCTATGTGAATGGGGTTATTTCTGCAGACTTTAGATTGTCCAGAATCAGGTTCATGGGTATCACTGAATGGTGGCTGCTGATGTAGAACCCAGAGCCATGAGTGTATGGCAAAATCTTTCATGCAAGTCAAAGGTTATGTTAGGATAGGCAGAATGGAATTAATCAGAGCCAGTACACTAGCCAGAAAGGTGCTTGAGCCAGCCAGTGGATGATGTAGCCAGTCACTTCCATCTGCCGGAGTTAGGGTCTCAGATTACTTTCTTTTCTAGGGCAGGAGGTGGCTCATTCCTTTCATATAAGGAGCAAGATGGGAGAACACATAACTGTAGCTGCATCATTGCCCATGTATGGGAGGTATTGATTCTGTACCCTCAGCCTGAAAGATTTCAGTCTCATGGCCCTTGCTTTCCAGGAGAACATGATAGCCACGAGGCTATGGATGCTAGAGGGTGAAAGCATGAGTTTAACATGTTGAAGCATGAAGAATAGGCCTAGGGGCACAAGATTCCGAAGGCAGAAAAGTTAGGGTGTGAGACAAAATCGTAATTTTTTTTATTCTATCAGCCAGCCACTAAGTGGCACAATCACTTTGAACATATATCCAAGAACTTCCTATATGGTTTATCAAATAAAACCTTCCATGTAAAATTTGGCAAGTATCATGTGTGAATTCCTTTCACAAAAATAGTGAAGCCCATTCCATACTAGCCAGTAGCCTAGAAGTTAGTATACTACCCTTCAAAGTCCAAAATTTGGATTTTAATCCCATTAAACTAAGGAGGTCCTAGAGCTAACTACATTTTGGTTAGGAGCTGTAGATACAAAAATAGTATAGAAAGAGGAAGAAAAGGATGAAAACAGTAGTTCTTTCTGCTCTAGCCATTTTTTTATTATTATTTTATTATTTTTTTTTTAAAGAATGGGTGTAAAACTAATGTACTGAGGTCAAGTTTGCTGTTTCGGGTGTCTCACACAAAGAATGCTGTTTAAGAGCTCTTGTGCAGTTTTGGGTGAGAAAGATGCTGTGTTCAGCTCTGCAGACAACAACAGAGCTGGTCACGTGTACAGGAAAGACTTTAGGTGGCTGGAAACTTTACTATCAGAAACCTATGATGGCTGAAGACTTTGCACACTGTGGAGTTAGGTGTGCATGCTGAAGATTGTCCTTTCTGGTCTTAAGTAACTGATCTGTGGGTTTTAATGTCTTGCTCTGAATTTCCTACCTGTGAAAGGAACGTAGGGTTGTTCTGAGGTTAAATGTTTTAAGATCGTGAACTATTCGTGCACAGTGGTGTTACAGACCACAGAGAAATTCCTGATCCCTTCATCTCACTGAAAATAATCGCTTTCAATGCAGGATTGATTGTTTAATTGAAATGTCAGTGCATATCCATAAACTCCTTCAAATAGAACTGGCTGAAGAAGGACAGTCTTATCTGAAATATGACTACAACTGAAAACAAAAGAATTTAAATTTAAAAATAGGGGAAAATGAAAAAAATTCATACGCAATTTAAAGCTGACCAAGAGAGCTTTTTGTGCCAAAATGCTTGGCATAAATGTGTATTCTGGTCATTACTGTGGTAACTTCATGGCATGGAGCTTAAGTTACCTTTAAGGTACTGATATTTATTGAAGGAGCAGATACAGACAGCAGCTTCTTACGTCAGAAAAGCATCATCTTCTATTCAGTAGGCTGGTGCTTATTCCTAAATATAAAGTTCTAAGAACACAGGATATGGAAAAAATGAGTGCAAGAAAACAATGAAATTTTCATCATGTAACTGTGGTTATTAAATAGCTTTAGGTTCAATGTTGTCTTCAATGCATATGTCCTGACATTTCTTTCTGTACCATCTGGCCTGTTTGTGGAAAACATTATGGATAAAGGTCATTGCTTTAATATATTCAATATATATTTTGTTCTGTGTGGAAAATTGACCCCTCCCACACAATATTATGTGAAGTACAAAAGTTCTACTTATACTGAGAATAGTTTTCAGTGAACACTCAAGTATTTAGTTTTTATCTATTTGCCTCTTAAAGTTTATAGAGGCACAAGTCCAGTAACAAGATATACACAGATAAATCTGTGCCCTGGATTTCTAGTGTGCAAACCCAAGGTTAAGGCAGAGCTTACTGAACAAAACTATCTTTGTTCTGTTCTGCTTTCTGTTGAGCTTTGTCTTCTCTTTCCATGTCATGAGCTGGTACCTCCTGTATTTCCAGCATAGCGCTTAGATGTCTTCCTAGCTTAAGAGAGTTAGAAAGAGATGGCTCCACTGAAGGGAACAAAAGAGCATGCAGCCAGAGCCCCTAAGTGCAACAGTGAGGAAAATGCATCTCTGTGGCATGACTGATGTCAGTGTGAAGATATGGAAAAGGAAGAGGCATAAAGCAAAGCCTACCATTTTGAAATACTAAATTTTCAAGATGGGGTTTGACAAGCATTTCTTTACCAATTACTATTAATGAATGAATAAGAGCAAAAATTCTAGTCCAGAAAGCCTATTTTTTGATGGGAACTGAGAAACAAAGTCATAACCACACAGAGAAAAGGATACCCTTTAATCTGGAATTTAGTATAAAATCTCAGTGCACCGTTCCAAAATCCATATTTTTGTCATATGTCTTTTATCTCCAGATTGTCACCTTTCTCCTTCAAATCTGTTAGTCATGAGGAGGTCATCAGGTTATGTCCTCTTTTCCTTGAAGCAAATAGATGTTTGGGTTTTTTTTTTTAATAGGGGGAAATAGGCATATTACTAAAGAGTTAGTATGGAAGATGATGACATTTTTATCTGCTGTCCATGTTTGTTCAATTTGCTCATAAATGAGAAGGAACTAAGTTGCTGCAATATAAACACATTGTGAAGAAAAGTAATGTGACTAAGGTGTGGCTTAGCAATGACGAGTTCAGTTCAGTTTCCTTCTTGAAAGTTCAATAAAATTGTGGTGTTGTACTATTATTAGGCATCTCATTCACTTAAGTGGCTGATCATTTCTGTATATATGACCATATATGTTGAAAAAAATGTCAAAATTTCACATATAGGTGCCATCTCACATGGAATTCATCCCTGCTGATCATATTCTTCTGGACTCTTTGGCATACTTGTGTAGAGTAATTACAGAATATATAGAGGCAGTGCTATGTTGAAATGAGAGAGAGCTTAGGAACAAAATCTCTAGAATTTTTCCAGTTCTTTCTCATGGTTCCTATCTCCTTTTTTTCCCCCTTTCTCCTCCCTCTTTTCTCCCTTCTGCCTTGCTCCTTCACTCCCCACCAGTTCATAGTTACATTCACTGTGTCCCTACAGATATGCTGCAAGCTGCATACGAGCTAAGTCCAGACAGCACTAGCCACTGAACTGGCAACGTCTGCCAGCTGATGGTACCAAGTTGTCTCATTCTCTTACTTTTGCTTCTTTTACCTCAAGCGACAACAGCTATGAAGGCTTTATGCTCCCTTGTCTAATGTGTCAGACAGGTCCCAGAGAAAATTACAAAAGGTGTTCTGTTGATTATTGCTGCTGACTTCAAGCTTTGTGCTATATTACTAAATATCCTGTGTGACCTGCCCTAGACTAGATGGTCCTGCTCTGGCAAGGGGGTTGGACTCGATGATCTCTGGAGGTCCCTTCCAACCCCTAACATTCTGTGATTCTGTGATATAAACAAAACCAATGGAATTTTTTTTCCTTTGTCCATCAATTATTTTGTTTTAAGTTAAGCAAAACTGAACACTGATTCAAATAAATCATTATCATAGATTTGTATTAGCTTTATTCAGCAATTCTCTGTATTCCTTAAACATTTATGTGCTTTCCAATTATAGCAATATTTTACTTGTAACTGCGAAATGTCAGATTATTGCTTCAAAGGTAACCTCATTTTATATAATCAGATGGAGACTTAGCTGATGAAATAAAGCATTGGAGATTGGATAAAATTTCAATTACTGTTTCCATAGTAACAAATAACAATTACTAACATAACAAAGGTGTTAGTATTTTAGGGGTGTTTGTACCTTGTTTTACTTTCAATGGTAAACATAACAGTTTCTGGGAGACAGAATGATAATAACACTGTTGAGAGTTTGTATTTCCTTTTAAGGGAGGATGCCAAGATCCGTCATTTAATTTTAAAAACTGTATGGCCCAATTTGCAAGTTTCTTTAAAATATGTCTGAAAATAATCTGATTTTAGACAAATAGCACTGATTCCATTACAAGAAGTCAGCCTGGGCTATGTGCAGCTGAGAGGGAACTACAGCAGAATATTTCAGGAAAATGAAAGGAAGTAGTAGCATAAGAGCTAGCAGAAACGCTGACCTCTCATTAATTTGTAAGTTGCATTATTTTGATAGCTAACAAAGCTAACAATGCAAACTAAGCTTTGCATCACTTTAAATCCAGGTGTAAAAAGTTGCCATTAACCAGCTTCTTAGAAAACAAATGTCTTTACAGTCTTGGTTCAAAACACAGCATCTGGTATCACGGATATTATCTATGATAGATTAAATAACTGTTTCCGTCTGCTTTTTAAAAGTGTTTCCCCTGGTTAGAAATAACCAGTGAAAAAAATAAAAATTGATGCATTTACAAATTCAGTTAATTTTTTTTAACTGTTTGTTTGTGTATTTGTGCAGTAGGATTCTTCTAAAATGCTTGTTTTACTGATCCATTGACTGACTTGTTTAACTGTGCACTCTTTCTTTAGGTTGGCATAGTATTACATTATTCTACACTGTCCACTATGCTATGGATTGGAGTAACCGCCAGGAATATTTATAAGCAAGTCACAAAAAAACCTCAGCCATGCCAAAACAGTGACCAACCTTCTTATCCAAAGCAACCGCTACTCAGGTATGGAATGTGAGCTACACTTTTTATGTATTCCTAAACCATATGAATTTTAAAGAAATTCTCATTTCTATTTCTGTATTCTTTACTTTTTACAGACTATAAGTAGCATCTATAAAGAACTGAGTCACTTAGGTGTACATAAAAATCTGATTTTTTATTGTATCATAATAGTTACCTCTACTCAGGAGATGGAAATATGCAGAACTGGTATTGGCTAGGTTCAGATAGCTTTATCTAAACAGAATTCCAGTGTTTCTGTTGGCTTCTTATGGAGGAAAAAAACTGTCTTGCTTCTGGGTTAAGGTATTATTTAATTATCAGAAACTATGCTGTAATGACTTTCCCTTTAGCCTTATCTATTCTGCTGTAAATCTTGCTCACACTTGTATTGATTGCCGAGTAACCTGTTAGCAACCTTCCTCATTTAACATCAGAGATCTAATGCTATTATAGGAGTGACTGAAACTCTGGACTGCCTATCAGCTTTCTAGATGGAGCAGACTAACTAACGTGTCTCTAACAGTGTGGCAGGTGTAATGCAGTGAGAATTTTAACCAGATGCCTAGAAGGTGCTGAAACTTCAAGCCAAAATAGTCAAACTGTATAGGGGGGAAAAAAAAAAAAAAGAGTAACTTAGCACAAAGATTTCCAACCAAAGGCATGAGAAGGAGGATTCATCTTTTTTGACTTTAGCTACCAAAACATTAGGTATTAGCCAAAGTTACCTAGTGTCCCTGTATAGATTTTGGAGGGAGACTGAGACTGAGAGGAACTTCCAAAAAATGATTACTCCCATCTGTCTTGGGTGTTTGTGTGAGGAGAGGATGAACTGTCTTGTGGAGGTGCCCCTCTTTCCCCACAGGTCATGGAAAAACCTGAAGCGTCAATTTGGACTAAAGACCACAGGTTTATAGTGAAGGTCAGGAAATGCAAATTCTACTTTTTATGGCTTTGCTGTGAAAAACAGCGTATTCTTTTAAACATACTTAGCTTATTTTATTTGAACATAAAATGTTTATTAAGTAGCATTTATAGATGGCTGCGTGAGGTTGTCACAAACCTATAGGAAGATTAATTGTGTTTTCTTGTCTGATTCTGCTGAGTGAAATCTTTATTAACATGATTAGTTTTCTGCTTTTTGAAACACTTTCTTTCTAGGGATAAGATTGATGAAAGTATTAGCTTTGTTAGTTGAAAGCAAGAAGATACGCTTTTTCTGAGAGTATCTGACTTTGCTAATCCATGATTTACTACAGCATTCACAGATGAGAATTTCACTCTTTCATGGCAAAGTGAATGATTGGCAATTTTCAAATGCTGCCGTGTGTCTATTAAGATAGAAAATTGTTACAGGTTGCATAGACCCAGCACAGTATATGTTTTTCGAATTCAAGTCTTGTTGGAAGGCAATAGACAATCAGGTTACAGAAAAGATTACTCTCATTAGAGTCTTTGTTGTACCAGTCATGTTGAGGGTCTCAGTGAAAATAAACAGTAGATATTTTAGATTTAGTAATAGAAATTATAAACCTTGGTTTAGCTGTAAGAGAAAATGAGTATTATTGTTTAATAGCAAAGTAAAATTGGTCTAAGTTATTTTTCTCACTCAGGGCACCATATGTCCTAGAGACACAGGCACTGAACTGTCTATTATTTCATAATGGCTAATACTAGAGTCAAAGTAGTAAGGATCAATTTCATTTCATGTAGAAAATGGGCATAGTGTAAGGAAAATTAAAAATCGCTGTAAGCAAGAAAATGCCAAACGCATAATTAGTAATTGTTGTTCTTTTATAATGATAATGATAATTTTTATGATCATTAACTTTAACTTTCCTGGTTTTAATAAAATCAAAATTAGGATGTACTATGTATCATAATATTTCCATTAAATCCATTCAAGATGCTTGTATTTGAATGTAGTCATTTATAAGAAATGTTTCAACTAGAGAGTGTTCTTGTACCTATAAGTAATGCCAGCTTATACTTTAAGAACATATACTTATGTACAGATACGTATTGTTCCTCAGTTACATCAGAGATAGCATTGCAGTTTGTCCGGGTTTGGGTGAAGTAATGTTAATTTTTGTCTCCGTTTGACACCAGTAGATAGCTAGATGGTACGAAGTTTGTTCAAATGGAGGTTAAGGGTTTTTTATATGTCAGGACCATCAATACTAGGAAGCACATAATACGGTCTGCAAGACAGTTTTAAACAATAGATAGTTTGTCAGTAATCCCTGTCCATAGACCTAGTCTGACTTGTGTTCAGGTTTTGTTGTTTAAAAGAAATGTATGAATGTGTTTGGCAAGAACTGTACACTTTGCTGATCTCCTTCAGTCTTTCCTGGTAATGGATATGTATGACAGATTTGGTTTCCAATTCAAATAAGAGTGCTTTTGTATTTATTGTATATGTACTAGCTACATGAGACAAAAGAATCTCTTTTGTGACTCAGTAAGTAGGGACTATTTCCATAAATCAATACATAAATCTATGACATGGAATTTAACAAGAATTAATAAAAATTCTGTCACCATATTTTTTTCAAGGAGCTTGACCACTCAAAAAAGTAGCTGAAACAGTGGAAGCCCCCCACCTCACCTCCCCCAAATATCTAAAAGGAGACTTTACTTGTTAGTAGAAAAGGACATTTGTAACAGTTGCTTTGGTTTCTCTGCCTGCTATTTGCATACTCATTTGCAGAAGTAAGACAAATGAGGTACACTTGATGTTTTCCTCCTAGCTTTCCTTGAGCTGTGGTGAAACGTCCTATTGTGTATAAACTGTGGTTCTCTACTAGTTTTCTCTGTTCTAGATACAGTGATCAAACTGGAAATTGTTCTGCAGCGTAGTTTTTTGAAACTTGTTCTTCATGGCAATGTGATTTTGAATATTGCCTCTTTTTATAGATTAATCATATATGAGGTATAACGTATAACATAATTTATTATACACTATATAATTTTAATTCTATATTACATTATATATTATCCATTAATTGTAGAGTTATAGCTCTTGGGGCCCATCACTTCAGTGACTGGAACCAAATGTAACAATTCTGGCATTTTAAACTAAATGTGCTTGGATGGTAATGAGGTGGATGAAATTAATGCTTCATTGAATTTTGTGTATTGAAATGCTGCACCCTAGCACTTCAACAGATAATGAAATCACTTCTTGTAAAATATACTCTCTAGTATTCTTAATAGAAATAAATAATTCTATCTGTTCATCCTCTGTGGACATTTGTTAAACCTGGCAGAGTTTGGCTTCTGATTTTTATTTCTGTCAGATTTTGTCAACAAAGACAAAGGGACATGCAAGATTCAGCTATTATTTGCAATGTACAAAACTTCTCATCAGCCCAAGCTGAGGCAAAGGTAGTGTTAGGCTTTATACCTGCTACATGCATGCATTTTTTATTTGATGCTCTATGCACATAAAGATTAGACAGGAGTACACACAAAGCACAGAATATTTCTGAAAGAGATTTTGTTAAAATCATTCCTTTCCAGAAATACAGGAGAGACAAAAAATGTACTACTATCATTTTTAATAAAATAACTACTGAGCAAAATTGTACTATAAACATTTAAAATATAAGCAAGCTACCATCTGGGCCAGAGATTTGTGTTAGGAAGACAGATGATTAAGTCACCTTTTATCTTGGAATTAGGTACAAGTATGTCTCCTAATTTTCTCCATCCTCTTTTATTCAATGAACATCTTGCAAGGTAACTAGTATGGCAACCTTCAGATTATAGAAAGCCAAATATCCTATATGTATCATGAAAAAGCATCAAAGTGTATAAATAATGTTTCAGAATCAACTACAAAGTGGATAACTAGTCATGTCACTGTCTCTGCTGAACTTCATTTTGTTTACTATGTAATGCATCTTGATGAGCTTTTTAAAAGGTTCTTACTGAAGTTGTGGGGCTTCTAGGAAACATACCTCATGCAATGCCTCAGAAAAATTTATTATCTAGCTGTAGCAGCATTTTAGGAATGGATCGTATGTCTTTCCCTTTGAGTTCAAAGTGGCTTAGTAATAAGGTTATTAAAGACAAACATAGAGAATTTTGGGAAAATCGTAACTCAGGAAAATTACATCAGTTTTCAGCAGCGCACTCAGAGCACCTACAGTCAATACCACTAGCTCAAATTCCATTCTCTTTACTGTTTTTAACTTTAATTTTACAAGATAAGAATTTTTAGAATGATAAAGCTGTTCGCACATTTCATATATTTTGAAATATCTCAACTGTCTTATAGAAACTGTGCTTTAACTTGCATACCGAACAGACCTAGAAATAGCAGATGAGAACTGAAGTGGTTCAGTTGAACTGTAATATCTGCTAATGGATATGTACATGCATATATGTATGTGTGTGTCTGCTGTTCTGTATGAGCTTGTATATGGGCAAGTTTCTGTACATCATCCATACACGGCCAGAGTACGGAGCAATGTCTTAGAAGTAGCAACAGCAGGAGTCTTCCCCATGGGCCATGTTTGTTGTGTAGCCATGACTAAGAACATACACCATAATCACATGGATGTGCAAGATGCAGTAGTGCCCCACTTGCATCATCCTCCTCTCCTGTGAATGTAGCAGCAGCTCTTCACAGTCATTCCCTGGCTCGTTATTTCTCTCAGCCACCTAAACATTCATCAGTAGTATCCAGCTAGGCAGTAGTTACGTCTCTTTGTGACACTGTTAAATTCTTTCACTGCAAGAAGGATAAACCCTGCTAGACTTTCAAATCCAGGAAAACCCTCTCTTTTGGTTTGTGTCAGCCACATCTGTGATGAGCCTGGTGCCTTGCAGTGAGGAGACTTTACAGACTTGCATGATACCACGGGGATAACAGTGTCTGCTCAGTGCTTTGTGCACAATGTTAATCCTGCTTGTCTCAGGATGAACACCGAGATGCTTGATCTGAATTCTGACAAGCTGAAAACCAACTCATTGACACAGATGGGTCCACTACTCTG